CCGGCCCCGCGTATGCGCGGGGAATATGCAACTAGTGAACTAAAGAGTTCAGTAAACAGTTACCCTCTTTTTGTTCGAACAGTAAACATTACCAGTTAACTTCGCGTTTCAATGGGTTTTATAAGGAGAGTTTTGTCGCTTGAAAATATACTTCAGTAAGAAGATGTCGTGTTCGTTTAAGATACTCAAGAGAAAGGTAACATCACCTGCAATGGAGGATTTAACCAAATTCTTAACACGTATTCTTAGACAAATAGATTTAAATAATAGTATTTAATTTGTATAAGTTAAGGATCCGTCTTTAACTAAGACATTTTAAGGACTTGATCCTTAATGACGTAGCAACGTCTTATTGTTGAAATTTTTAATTTTTTTTTTTAAAAATTGAAATTATAATACCTAATCTATAAACCCCATAACTCTAATACTTAAGTCTAGATTAGTTAAATCAAAAGGTATAAATATATTTTTATAGTCTTTAATAAAGTCTATTTTAGTTATTTTTTCTTTATAGGTTATATTTGTGACAATTTTTTTTTTAGGTTTTTAAGTCATTTTGTCATAAAAAAATTAATTTCACATATTTTAAGATGTAATATCTTTTTCTCTAAGAACTCCATAATGGATAATACCGTTGGAGGAACATTTGTGATTACAGTCTTTAACTATTCAAAAAAAAATTATTATATTACTAAAGATTCCAATAATGGATAACACCATTAGAGGTGTTCTAACTATTATTATAATTAGCTCTTTTAATGAGTACTAGATCTCGATCCGCACAACCGTGCGGGTATTTTAAGATAAAAATATTTAAAATTATATAATATTATTTATGTTTCAAATTCGATGATGTTTTAAAAGATTTGTTTTGTTTCAAAATATAAAATGTTTTAAAATTGTAAAGTATATTTTAAAGTTTTAACTAAGGTTACTTTTAATTTTATTGGAAATTATTCAAGCAATAAAACTTTTACTGTTTTTAATAATTGGTTGAATGATTTTAAAATTATATCTTTAAAAATACTTTTGTAAAAAAAATTAAATTTCTTAATCTTTGTGGAATGATCCAAAACATCATATATTAAGAAAGGAAAAGAGTAAAATTTATCAATAAATAAATACAATTTGATTATGTTACTATCCAATTTTAAAATAATACTTATGTGGCTTATAATATTATTAATATAATTTCTAAATTTTTATTTTTAACAATTTTAAAAAACATTATTATGTAACATTACTAATTTATATTTATTTTTTTATTTATAAATTTGAAATATATGCAAAAAATAAATTAAGTTGGACCTACATAATACATAATTTTTTGGGATATTGTTAAAAGTATTTTACATAATTTTAATTTTTTGTTTATAAATAAAAAATGAATTAATATTTGAATTATATTTTCTGATAATTAAAATTTTAATCAAATAATTTTTGAAACTATATCTTGAAAAGATTCTAAAAGATATTTAAAAGATTTTGTTAGAATTTTCTTAAAACTATTTATTGGTATTTCAAATAAAAATTAAAGATGTGAAAAGATATTATAATGATGTTATGTAAAATTTTATAAAACTTCTAAGATGGTCCAAACTAAAAAATCGCATATGAAATGAGTCATGACTTTTATTTTAATATAATAGATTCTGACTAAAGTCCGAAGAAGACGTTAATCGTAAAATCTTATTTATAGATTAGTAACTGCTGAAAAAGATAGCTAATGGTTGCTAACAGAATGACAAGACTGTATCTAATCGACGTATATTGACACAAAAAAAGACCTTTGGATTGAAAACGATTGTCCTATACAAATACAAAGTTACTAGAAAGTAATTTGCGCCCTGCGCCTTAGGGCATGATTATTGGTTGTCCCAATTTTTAGTCCTTAGATTATTTTATTATTATAGTTAAGTTAAGAGTTTTAGTTAAGGACTTAGTTAAGAATGTAGATTATTGGTAGTCCTTAATTTTTAGTTCTTAGTTTATTTTTTGTCTCTTAAATAACAATGTTATCTTCTCTTTTTTACAAATACTAGAGATTTTTCCCGGGCTACGCCCGGGTTTTTGACTATTAACTTATTTTCAGATATTATATACCTTATGCTAACTTTTATTGATATATCTATTTATTTATTTTCTGAATCGTATAAATTGTGTTAAAAGATATTGATATGATTTTTTTTGTCATCGCTGGTATTGTTTATAAAATATAAATTGCACTTTTTAAATATTATATGGATTGCGCGGTACAAAGAAAACTGTAGTATAGTATTGTAATTATTTAGTATTTCGTTTAAATATCTCATAATTTTTAATTTTGATTTGTATTTAACAAATACTCACAATAAATGTATGATTTGTTTTTGTATATGCATGAATCTTATCATCTTTTTCAAATGTATATTTGATAGTATATTATTTATATTTTAAATTTAGTATCACAATAATCTTTAATCAGCTTTAGTTTATACTAAGTTTTTTCAGTTTAGATAATAGACAACAAAAATAACCATTATGAATTTTAATTCTCTTGAGTGGTTTAATCAATAAGATATTTCGGAATTCTTTCATATTTTGTTTGATTAGCTAATGCGTTTTTTCTTACTTTTGTCCAGGTATTGATGCTCTTATCAAAAACAGATGAAGAAACTATACTTAATAAGAGATTTATCAGTAATATATGTTAAAAATATTTGAAAACACTAAATCCTTTTCAGTTGAAAGAAATGTTTGAGGTTTGATTGTCTGAATCTCTCATTACCCACCTCTATTCTTGGGCATTTCAACTTTTCATGGTCATATTATTTATCATAGTAGACGTAAATTTTGATAATTATATCTTTGATATCATAGGTCTATTGAATTTTTTAAGGTCAGTTAATTTTGGATTGTTTACATTAAAAAATATTTGTGTGATCTTTTATGTAAGTTAAATGATTGATTTTAGGGACATATATTTATTCTAATATCATTGTAAGTGAACATGAATTTAAGTTAAAGTACAGATTATGTTAATTTTGGATTGTTAACATTAAAAAATGTTTGTGTGATCTTTTATGTAAGTTAAATAATTGATTTTAGGGACATATATTTATTCTAATATCATTGTAAGTGAACATGAATTTAAGTTAAAGTACAGATTATGCTGTCGGAAAAAACAATAAACAGCCGGTGGCTGCTTCAACAAATAGTTTCACATAAGTATCTAATTTTGACAAACCTCTAAGACAAAAAAAAAATTAAATGGATCTTCCAAAATTCTGAACAAAGGGTTCGTGTTTGAGCAACTCGTCTACATCAGCCATGTGAACAACCCTTCGGATCTGCAGCATCAACTGCCTCTAAGGACATTCTGTTTGAAAATCATATACTCTCAAATAGAACCATTATTTTAATTAGCTGCCAATATAAATATATAAATTTTGTATAATTGTATTTATATTTTTACAGAATATATTGCACTTTTTAAATAATGCATAGGTTATTTTACATATATAAGCTATTATGAATATTTTTATCATACTCTTTAGTCATATGAAATAAAACATTCAATGTATGTCTATAGTGTTTAACTGTGTTTTATATTTTGGCAAAATTCTTCACGTATGATTATTATTTTTTATTGGGTGGATACGTATATACTATAACATAATTCAAATTTCAAATATTGCAATAAATATTTGACAAAAATATTATTTAAAATATTCTTGAGATTAGGGCCCGTAATGGCTTCTCAAGCTTGCCTCACTTATAGAGGGTTTCCCGGACTACGACCGGATTAGGACTATGTTAAATGTAATACAAATTATATATCAAATTTGTAATAATTGAATCTCAAAATTTTGGATACTTTTAATATCTAATAATATATGTGGGATGTTATTTATTCCCTTTAGAAGGAAAGGACTAATGACTCCTTAACATCAGCTCTGCCAGTACGATGGTGCTATTCCGGAAGATTGACAGGTCACTTCGAGATACATTACTGGTCGCTTACCCCATATGTGATGCCCTGGTCTTATTGCTCAATGGTTTAGGTTTGCCTAGCCAGATTCTACATTGGCCACTCATTGTTTGTTCACATAGTTTCATTCTGGTTTTTATTTTTTTGAGTCATATGTAAATAAAAAACATATGACCACATCAAAGCTAAGTGAGGCTAAAATAAAAATAAATTTCTTATTGCTTGAATATAACTAAATAAAGACATTTTGATTAGGAAATAAAGAATCATTTATTACAGTTTTTTAGTAAAATAAATTTATGACATTTGAGAAAATATACCTAACAAAAAACTAAAACAGCAAAAGTAAAACCAAAATAAAGATTGAGTGAACCTTAACTAACCTTGTTGTATCACAGACTCAAGAGTTTTGAGTAAACCTTAACTAATCGTGTTGTATCAAAGTTTTTAGTGCACTATAAAAGTCTTAGACTCAAGAGATTAAGTAAACCTTAAGTAATCTTGTTGTATCACAGACCACAAGATTCTCAGAATCAGATTGATTCGTGCATAGCCAATTCACCTGTTTAACAACAAATGATCAGATCAAGTCCACTGGTGATAAGTGAAAGAAAGTAAACACTTGAGAGACCTTGAAGAGATATATAATAACAAAGTAAGCAATAGTTCGTTACCTTCCCAAGGTCTCCATGGAATGAACTGCACAGAACATACATTAAGGTGTGACTTGAGTTTTCTTTTTCACAGAAGCGAGGAAAAGGAAACAACCGCTTTAAAGGATACGCTTGTATGACCAGCTCTAAGGGTTTTATAAAGACACTTCTGAGAGAATCTCCAAGCTTCTCAGCTGCAGCTCTGCATTCCTTTTCTCAACGTTTCTCCTCTCAAATCGAACTTTCACGTTTGCTATATATGACAGTTTCGAAAAACAAACATGAAAGTTTTCTCAATGGTTAACTAACCACAGCCAATGATGATCAATGCCTATAGATATGGAGGCGCAGAGCTTCATGCTCCTGTGTTGTATATTTTATGGTGACATCGTTGATACAATAACTGGAGGAGAATGCAGCTCAAGCAAAGATTTTCCTTCAGGATAGCCGCCTATGCACAGTGTGTCTCCTCGACCATGCCAGATACCATCATGTACATTGTTTATCTCCAATGTTTTCGATTCCTGCATCACATCACAAGCAAGTTTGAACCAAAAGGGCATAAATTGATACAGCTTGTTATAATCTGTGTACAAATACACAACCTGAGTTAATGTACAGAACGGACACATGAGATGGTGGATGAAATCGTCAAAGAAACTATCAGCGCCCTGTAAAGAAGAAAGAGAATCAACCATGTCATGATGCAGAACAGAAGAAAAATAATCCCTTAAAACACTCACAGAAAACAAACTAAGGCTTACTCTAATGTTAAACTTCCTTCTTATCAGCATACGGAAGAAACCCAAGTAGGATGCAATCAAAATAACGAAGCAACAGCCAGATAGAGAAAGCAATGCCTCTTTGTTACAGCAAAAGCTGCAACGTTGAATAGGAGACCGATGATAAGAATCATATGAACCGCACCCTGACACAACAAACACACAAAATTGAGAAGTCAGATACATATAAAAAGACAACATCTTTCAATGACTGCAACTCAGGAACAATTCAGAAATGCTAAAAAGGGGGTTTAATAGTATCTTTATGCCTCTTCTCTTTTGTGGTTCTCAGTTGCATCCTAGTGGTCATAACCAAACATGATAAGAGATTCTTTGGGAGATAAGCTGCTCCAATGATAAGATTATTAAAGCGATAAATCCTTACCAGCTTACTCAACTCCTCCTTTGCGAACTTCTCCTGTAGTGACGCTATCTTCTCCTTCATCTCCGCTATGGTTGCTTGTAGCTCTTCCTCTTTGGTCTTTGCATCCAACTCTACAAGTAATCAAGAACGACATCAGCATTCAGCGACACAAAATGATGTACAAACAAAGGTAAAGCAGGAAATTTAAGTCACTTTTATCTTTGCATCTTTTCTCTGCAGATTCCAGAGAAGAACGAAGATTCTACTTCTCATGGAGATGGGTTTCGTCCACTTGTTGGAACCATTTAACACAGACCTTAAGTCTTCTGATAATATCTGTCATCTGCTCAATCTTACCCTGCACATACCCCCAAAGGAACATTATTTTCAGTGAAAACGGCAAAAGATTTATCTCCCAGAATGAACATTAACAAACCAACCTTCGTATCAAACTACCCAGCCTTGGCTCTCTCTCACTACGCAAAGCCAAGACTTCATCTTTAGTAAACTCAACTTTACCACACTCCTCTACGCTTCGCTGTTGGCAGTAACATCTTGTATGTTCACTGTGGAAGGAGCGTGTCTTCTTGCAGTACCTTGCGTCTCCATTTTCCTTCATCTATCAATAGGTATACTCGAGAGAGGTTCCCTTCTCTGCAAAATGGTTTTTTAAAAAAATCAATTGTAAGAACCCACGAAACAATCACCTGTGGAATTTCAAAAAGTCGTTCGACTTGATTTTGCCATAAAGCTAAACCCTAAGAAACACCGTTTCATCTTAGTTTAAAGGCATACACAAACTGTAAATTACAGGGTTCCATACTTGAAAAATTTAATAACAATTCTGAGAGTTTATAAGTTTGTTAGAGAAAAAGCTGAAGCATATACATCTAAACTTGAAAAAGGAACAAAACATGTAAAGTTCAAGACGAAGGTCCCGATGTTTACCTAACCATGTGGCAGAAGTTGGGATCCCCAGCCTTTTTGCCATCTACTCAGCTTCAAAGCTGTATCAAAATAAGATATTGATTATAAGATATAGCAAACCTGGAAACATTTTATATTCAGAAGAACACACTTTTAAACAAAAACTCTATTTCTAAAACTCATCAATGAATCTAGCTAAACATCCGACTCCATCACACCACATCTAACAAACATAAAAAAAGTAAAGAAAATAGAGTCTTTTATATCTTCCAAATCCAAAACAAAGGCTTTTAATAACAAAAACAGAGTTTTTTTTTTGGATTCGGAATCACAAAAACACAAGGTTTGGAAAAAAAAAAACAGAGTCGACTAATATAGGAACCAATTATATAGCCAAAGAACTACCTCTTCGTCGATAAGGATCATCTCCTGTCCAATAAGGGTTTTAGTCCTCGGATTTATAGCCTTCCAGAAGTGAACCAAGCGGAACCTCAAGGACGCTTCATGTGGACCAAGAGTAACATCTCTGAAAAGCATCGGAGGGGGGAGAGCCACATGAGCTTTTGGTTTGGTCGGAGTGGGTGACAAAAGCGGAGCCTTGCCGTTACGCTTGGAGACATTCACCCAGGAGCAGTCGCGGAGGAGGAGTTACCCTCTCGATTAGCCGCCGCGGAGGATGACAGAAGCTTCTTGTTGGTCTTTTGGCCGGTAGGGGATGAAGATTTATTTTTGGGTTCCATCGGAAAATCAGCCAAAAAGAGGCACCTATAAATACTAAGTTGGAGAGGAAGTTGAATAGAAAAACTCATTGAATAAGAGAACTGAAGATTGATTAGAGAAGGGTGTGGGGTTGATTAACGGAAAAACTGTAATGATCTAAACGAAGGAAGTCGGAAGGTTATAGGAGAGGAGATCGAAAGGTGAGAAGAGAGGAGTTTCTAGTTTTCTCCGACACCATTTGTTGTTTTAGAAAATCAGTTTTTGGGCCAAAATAGAGACATATAGGAATAAATTGAAGACAATATAAAAGGCCCAAACAAAATACAAACCATAAATCAGACGAAAATCAGAACCGCTTTTGGTTGAATACAAAATCAAAATTTGAGACGCAAACCCAACTGATGTGTATGTTTAAAGTCCCCCTATTGGTCAATTAAAATTGCATACGTGGACAGGCTGTGGGGGCTTTATTTACAACTTTTATTAGTGTTAGATACAATTCAGATATTGATTACTTGTGAATGTTGCTTATTTTCAAGCACTTTATTTAGAAAGAACACCTTAAGAATCAAAAAACAAAAAAAAGGACTTTCTTCAAAATCAAGAAGAAACAAGAACCACAAAATCAAGGGACGTGATCTCTTGTGGAACTGCTTGGTACTCTCCTTCTTGCAAAGCTTGGCAGGGACAGTGCCAGTCTTGATGATCTGAATGCAAGGGACGTGATTTCTTGTTTCAAGCTTTTGACTTCTTCTAAAGCTCTGGCTTTCTCACCTTTCAAAACCGTTCCTTCTTTCTTTATAACTTCCATTCTCTTCCTTCTCATGCGCAGCTCTCTCATGTAGTGGTGCTGCCTGTCTATCATCAGCCCAAGGAAAAGAAATCCACCTGGAAGAATAACACACAACACACAACTAAGGCGTAAACAGCGCACAAAGTGAAACTTTGAATGACGATTTCAAATAACAAAAACTTTTATGGGAGACTATATGGATACTTGCACAGCAAATTTTACTGTAGTAGTTGATACACAGCAGAACAAGAGCCAAGCAATCACTCCAACAAGTATAAACTAAGGTTTTACCAAAGCAATAGAGTAAACCTATCAAATGCTAATTTCAAATAACTTACTCCACCATTAACCTTATTCTCAAGAGAGACTAGGGTTAAAGGAACCTTTGCAAACTAATCACTCTGTTTTCTTATCGCAATCAGCAATACAACAGAAACGTATCAACTATATGCTACTTCCATAACCAATTAGACTATAATAAGTTGATACAGAGGAAGAGAAGAGCTAAGCAATCACACTAGCAAACAGCAACTAAAGGTTTACACAAAGCAGAAGACATAGCTCCAAGGCTCAAACTGAGACTAGAGAAGCTGATTTCAAATAACAAAAGCCTTATGAAACTATATGAACCGCTCCACATTCCAATTTGATCAAATCAGTGCAGGAAAATCAGTAACAAAATTGGAAATTCAAGAGCTAAACTCACAAGATCCATCACAGTAACCACAACACACTCACAAGATCCCAACCTCCACAACATAGTTTCCTTAAACCGGATCTCAAATTCTCTCAACTAGCAACTGAGTATTCCTCAGAAAAAAAGTGTTTCCTTGTCACTGTAGAGATCAAAGCAAAAGCAAAGTGTAATTTGATTGTTGGAAGAAAATAAAACTGTTATCTTTCTTTATTTTGTTTATAATTGTTAACAAAGTACAACATGATTCATGACTATGTAGAAGAAGAATCAATATCTGATCTCCCTCTCTTGCAAAAAGAATCTGAAATCCTAATAACACAGAAACGACATGCTACTGGGAAAAAAAAGTGCTAAAGAGAAAAGGACAAACCGATTTTCGGATCGGAGAAGCGGAGGAAAACGAAGCCAGTTTCGATTTTGATAGGCTGCCGATGGATCTCCTTAGGAAGCTCATCATTATTTTCTCGAGAGAGAACGAAGGAGACGAGGATACAGTGACGAAATCGGTTTTTCCCTCACCGCTTTTCATGGTCATTCCAAGCTCGCCACGTATCACCAAAGGACGCGTAAAAAAACATCTTAACTAAGAGCGTCCTTCGTGATTTCGCCTAATTTTCATTTAAATTAATTACAAATATTACCTAAGATATATCCTAAGATATGCCGATAATCATGCCCTTACGCCCTACGCAAGTTCCAAAACATGAATTTTAAGTTTAAAATCTCATGTTTTTATTTAATAATTAGATATAATGGATAGAAGAAATAGAACGACAGCAAAGTTTTTTTGTTTAGGTCAACTCCAATGGGACACCAAAATACTAAATTTGATGTCATTTCATCTCCAATGGAACACTAAAAATTACACCATCCCACTAAATTTGGTGCAGAGTGAATAGTGTTACAGAGAAACACTATTCATCACACCAAATATTTAATATGTATATTTTATTATGTTTTATTTAATAAATAATTCAATTAATCTTATTAATTAGTTCAAATTTGTAACTATATATAAATATAATGTATTATTTGTATTTTAATAATTTTTACATAATTGATGATACTTTTGAAAAATTAATAATTAATTATTATCATTTTATTTTTAAAATCAATAATCGATTATTCTCATTTTATTTATATTTAAAAATATATATACCAAAGAACTTTTGTATTTTATATTGTAACATACTTTTATATGAAAATATCAATTATAATCTCCATTTAAGTTTAATCAGTAATGAACAACTAATAATATTAAATTATTGTTAAGATAGATTTAATAACAAATAATTAACTTTATGTAATACTATTAAATTTACCAAACTTTGAAATAACCTTTTATTTTATTTTTTATAATATAGTTAAACTTGTATTACTATTTAATAATTTTTTATTGAAATAAATATATTCTTCTATAATGTGCTTTTACAATTAATACTTTATAAATTTAATATAATATAGTATTATATATAAAATAAATACAAAAATATAATATTTTTAAACAAAAAATGTATTAATTTTATTAACATAAAATGACAAAATAGTAATTATAATATGTAAATGTGATAAAATAATTATTTATCAATTAAAAATAATAAAAACATAAAAAAATTATTAAAACTGAAAATTTCAAATAATATATAATAATATTTTTTGTGCAATATTTGGTGTCATGGTTGGAGATGACCAAAAATATTTTACACCAAAACATCAAATTTGCTGTAATTCCAACACCAAATTTGGTGTCACGATTGGAGATGCCCTTACAGTTATTAAAAGATTCGTTGAAAATTTTCTCACATTGAGTGATAACATGATGTAATTTAAACTAATAGTTAAGTAGCATATAATAAAGAAGTTATAACTGACGTGTTTTGTTATTTTTGTGTAATTTATAACTGTAAGTTAGCTTTGTATGGATATTTTATTGTTTGCCGTTTTATAAGAAATAAATGACACTTTTATTTGTAATCAAAATTTAAAGAGAATACTCATAAATGCATAAGTCAAAATCTAAAAAAAAATTTTTTTTGAAGATAATTGGATCAAAAGTTTCAAAGTTTTATTTATGGTGATATTTTTGAAGTTGTATGAAAACTTTAGCTTAAAATCTATGTACGTGTCAATTTTTTTTTAGAATAACATTTTACTAGTGTAAATAAATTAATTCATTAAATTATGATGATTTTTTAGAAATGTTTTCCTTTTGACACGTCAGTTTAAATTAAAAAAAAATTGTGATAATACATCATATTATTAGTGTGAACACATTAAAGATTTTCTTTAACTTATCTTTTAATATATAAAAGATAAATTTGAGCTGTGTATGAAAAATTTGATGGATAACGTTTACATCATCATATAATCTATAATTTTATATTTTTATTACATATGATTGTTAACTAACTACAACATCATATGGAAAATTCTAACGGAATCATTTACACAGAAAAAGATGCATGAAACATACATGCAATTGATTCGTTATTAAAGAGAAACAAAATTATACCAACATATAACTTTACAGTCAAAATTAGTTACAATAATACAATTATTTATATATTTTAAAAGAAATACTAACACAAACGTCATTTCCTAATTAAAAATAAAACAAACGAATTATATATGATAATCATATGATAGTCTCAGTTGAGGTTTGTCTTCGATGGCTTCTATGTGTATGGTATCTCAAGTCTCAAGATTCCTAAGCCGAAAGTACACGCCTAATTAAGCTTTCCATTCTATTTTATTTTTACATTTTCCAGACCGGACAAAGTCAATCATATATCTTGTCTTCCATTATTTTAGTCCAAAAGAGAAAAAAATAACTAAGCTATGCACACCAATGAGATTATATGTTTTTATGTTATAGTTTTGGATATGAATATTTGACTATGCAACCAAGATGCTGCATATTCTTTGATACGTTGCATCAGCACACTTCAGTAGATGGTGGTAAACGCTTTGAGTGGGTGGGTAGAGGACAAATATGCATTTCTTTTCGCCTTCTTGATATAGAATGTTGTTCGTTGCTCCTTATGAATCTTATCTACTAATAGCAACCACATATGAGTAAAACTGTAAAATACATATTTTCTACGACCAAGTGTGAATGGCAGAACAGAGTTGATGCTTTGGTTAACTTCTAGAGTACTATTGGGTCTTATTATTGCTAGCAAAGAGCTAATCAAACCCCTTTAGGAAAGACTCTAAGAGTCGACAAGTTAATCTTGGAATTAAATACAAGAATTCCTATTCAGTTCTAATGAAATGAACAGTCATGAAAATAAATTATACAACCAGAGTGATAAGCCTGTGATATTCTGATTTAGAATTATAATTTGTTTGTGATTTTGATCCGTGGTGAATGGATTAACAAAGCGTCAAGAAGTCGATCATCAGCTTGGCAAGTGAGTGATGAAGGCCACTTATAGTTCAATATATTCAGATACCAATGATAAAAAGAAAGATGATATCCTTTTGAATGTTTGTAATCCAGCTTTGATTTTCTGAATGTTCTTTCCTAAAGTTATTCAAAGTTTGATGTTTTACCATATGATTATCTATCATCTTCATCATTGTAAGGAAAATAAAATATTACAATCCCGATCAGACATTATTAAGTTATAACGTTGTTACTGTTTTTCGAATACACGATCACAGATTCGATTTCGACGAGCATTTGCCTCGTTAGAAATTAACAAAATAATTTAAAAGAAGTGTAGAGAAGCAACTTGTCCGCTTCTATTTCAAACTGTGCCAAAAACAAACAGTCTTTATGAAGCATTATGGAAGATGAAAAGCGAAGAAAGGATAAGATCGTTGAAAATAAAAAGAATTATCTCCTTGCTTGCTTAGAATCTGTGCTCCAGCTTCTCTTTTTCTTGGTAGTGTTGAGCATACCTGCATCCATTACAAAACAAAAGACACATATAAGACAAGCGAAACAAATGACAAAAAAAAAAGAGAGGAAGAACAGTGATTGAGAGTAAATGCACATTACACAAGCAAATCTAATTCTTAAAAAAAAAAAACAATTACTGAATATATTGATTTTTCATGTAAATATGGGTTTCATCACATAGACCACATCTGAACAGAAAAACAATTGAGAAGGTAATAAGACAATCAGAAATCAGAAACCAATAACCCTTTTTTTTTTGTAACAAAGAAACAAATAACCCTAAAACCTTGTGTCTGAAAAAAAACCACAACCTAATAGAATCTCTATTTACATAGCCTAACAATCAGATTAACGAACATCATAATCAACAGATCCCAATCGATTGATCAAAACCAAATTGATAGGAAGATAAAAAGAAAGAAGTGTACGAGTAGGTTCCGATGACGGGAGCGAGGAGGAGAATAGTGCTGATCCAATTCTCAGAGACCTTGTGGTGGATCTTCTCCGGCAGATCCTTCCAAAGACCTGTCATGATCTTCTGCTGAAACGGCGACAACGCGAAAACCACCGCCTTCAATTTCACCGGCTGCTTTCCCATTTTCCAATCCTCTATGTAGCTGCAACAAGGAGAGACCTTTCGAGAATGGCTATAATGCACGGCGTATCAGCTCCAAAACGCTGTCGTTTGATAGGTAAAGTGGATTGTTTTCTATTTTCACAGGCTTTTTAAATGGGCCTTTTATTAAAAGGCCTCTTATAGAAGACATCAATCACACAGTAGCAGTATCCAAACGCTGCCGTTTTGAAACACATTGCTATCTTTGCTGTTTTGCTTGTGGCACCGATTTGGGTTCCCTAATGGTTTTGATGCATGAAGCTGATCGAATCTCTCCACTATTATTATTATTAGGTTAGAGACTATTAGTTGACAAAAAAGGTTAGAGACTATCGTGTTGGATAACCCAAAAAGTTATCAGATTCATTTTTGTCCAAAAAAAAAAAGTTATCAGATTAGTATTCAAATGCAAATAATATAATGTAGTATTAACTCCATCCAATCAAAAGATACATGCACTGCGGTATGTGGATTCGATCCTGAAATTCGTGTTGATAAATTGGTTTGGAAGTTAGCATCAGCATTTTACCTCAGTTTGGTTCGGTTAAGGTAAGGAGACTGGTTAGTTAACTCGGGAAGTGTTGGCAAAAAGGTTAGTCTTCATCAGAATGTTATTTCCTTTTAGACCTGATTCTCAAAAATGTCAATGTCGCACCAACTATATTCATCTAAAGTCTTTGTTTTGCTATGGAAACTGACAAATGGGAAAGTAACGAGAGAAAGGAATAACGTAGCATAGAAGTTTATCGTGAATGTTTGTTAAAATGCATAATGAAAGAGTTGAATTACTGCACGAGAAAAAGTGACTTTATTATTGGCAGTTAGTTATTGTTTGAATGTTACATTCCATTAAAGTGCATATGCTAATATATATTTGTTGATATAAAAACAAAGGAAATCATGAGCTAATAGACTAAATGCCTCTTCAGCTGTGAACAACTCAACATATGTACCTGAATATTGGATTTGAGTTCAACGTTAAATTTAAAGGCTATATTTTATTATTTTTAAATTGAACTTATGACCACTGAACTTAGATTTGTATCCAAATGAATTCAAAAGAAAAAAATGCATTAGTTTATGCTATTTAACAATTTCTTACAAACACCAACTTTTGTTAATTAGTCTGAGCCATTATTCTTATAACAATTTAACGATTATCTATACTATTCTGGAGTTAGGACTACCAATGAAGATATAACTACATGATTATGCGTGTTGTAAAAAATAAAGTATAATCGGTTGATTTCTTAAGACAAACAAACTTGTAAACTAAGAAAACTTGAGGCACGAGCACACTAGACATGATATGAAATGACTTGAGAGTTCAATTCTGTTAGAATTAGAGATTAAGAAAGTATTGTTGCTGGAGAATGAAGAACAAATAATAGAGAGAGAGAGACTTTCGTAAGTTAAGAAGAATAGAAGGAGGAAAAATATTTTCCTTGATTAAATCAATGTGCATTACAGCAAGATAAGTAGGCAAGAGGCCTGAAATAAAATAATTAAAATAATACAAGTTGGTACACAACGGTTAAATGCACGTGGGGAAGAGCAGAAAAAGAGATTTTGAATTTGCCCATATGGTCACCTTCCATCGTGGTCAAGCTTTGCACCCATGATCATCGTATTTGAGGTTGACCATTTGGTCAAGCTCCTCATGGTCACGCTTTCACGAATGGTCATTTTATTTGTAGTTGACCATATGGTCAAGGTCTTCATGGTCACGCTTGCACCAATGGTCATCTTATTTGTAGTTGACTATATGGTCAAGTTCTTCATGGTCACGCTCGTACCAATGGTCATCTCTTCTTATCTTAGTATTTCCTTCATGTCAACACTCCCCCTCAAGCTTGACCATGTAGAACAAGTCAAGCTTGGAAACCATGAAGCAATCCCTCATTAAAACCTTAGCTAAGTAAAACCCAATGGGATAAAACCTAAGCCAAGGAAAAAGAGTAGATCACTTCATGGAGGAGAGTCTAGTGACATGGGAGTTCTATGAGTCCTAACCTTGGATGTATGGACTCACACACTTTAATACTTGCTGCCTTGGTGAAGATATCGGCTAACTGGTCTTCACNGAATGGCAGCCTGGTTATCACAGTGCATTGTGATAGGCGTTGTGATCTTAATTTCCAAGTCCTTAAGCAGTGCCTTCATCCATATCAGCTCACTTGTAAGCTTTCTCATTGCACGGTATTCTGCCTCAGCACTTGAGCATGAAACCACCTTTTGTTTCTTGCTCTTCCATGTTACCAGATTACCTCCAATGAATGTGCAGTATCCAGTAGTTGATCTCCTATCAACTCTATCTCCAGCCCAATCAGCATCACAATAACCAACAATCTCAGCACTCTTGTTGCAACCCATCCAAACTCCTTGTCCTGGTGCTTCTCTTAAGTACCTTAAGATTCTTTCAACCATGTTCCAGTGGTGTGCTTTAGGAGCTTGCATATGCTGGCTCACTTGATTAACTGCAAAGCATACATCTGGTCGAGTGATAGTAAGGTATATGAGTTTTCCCACCATCTTCCTATAGTGTTTCACATCTCCATATGCCTTATCTTCAATCTCCCCCTCACGCATCACCTTGTACCCTTCCTCTAGA